CACATGATCTGTATGTGTCCTACTTGCAGTCATCGTGCTCTTGTTAGAGTACAAAGAAGACATGTACCAATTAATAACTTCTCTCAAGTTCAATGTGTATATGCATTACCTAACCAACATGCTAATCTTCCTTAACAGTTTGAACCTGGAGTTCCAGAAACGTTAGGTGAGTTTGCAATCGAATCCATTTGAGCTCATGTACACTGTTGTACCATCATGGATCTAAAAGTTACAGTATTATGTGGCAGGTTGACAATAATTTAGTCCTGTCACTATTACATCACACCATCATCAACATTCATAGGCTCGAGTGCAGCAAAGACTTTGGTGATAGCTAACACTAACATCTCCTGTCCTTCCTCGCCAGACTCAACAAAGGTCGCCGAGTCACGATGGAAGGCCGTAGCAACACAACTACTGTCAGAATGCTATAATTGTCTAGTCTGCAGTGGGGTACTCTATAGTGAGTACAGCCCAAATTAGGGTTTGCTATATGTATCCTATCTGCTGCTAGTGCAACTCATCTTTCTGTTTCTAACTTTCTGCTAGCGTTTCTCGACAACTACAAGCTGCACGACATTTTGCCTTTGAAAAATCATGGCATCTCCTTCATTTCTGCAGACTTTCCTTGAAGTCTCAGTACCGTAAGCTCCCGGATAGTAGACCCCCCGGAATACAAGACCCCCGGGTCTGTATTATGGGGGTGGGTCTTTTATTTTGGCAGGTTTTCACTATACCCCCCCCTAGAGGGGTAAGCATTACTAGACCCCCCCCTTTATGGTTGTCACTAGTTTATAATGGAAATAAGATGTCTTTTCAAGTGCTTCACTAGCAAGACAAGTTTGACACCAATGCAACCTATTCACGGTTTGCATTTCAGAGATTTAGGGGGCAACAAGGGGTGAGAACAACATAAAAACAGTCACTTATCCTCGCCTGCAACCCACTCCTCCACTTCCTCTCCCTCATAGCGGACTGCTGCCCACCAGTCGTCTCCATCCTCACTCCACTCGTCCGCACCTCCCATCTCTGCATCTGCCTCATCCCCCTCCTCATCCGGAGCCATCACATCCCCTTCCTCGGCATCAGCACCCACCACATCCTCCTCCCCTGCAAGCCCTTCCTCCTCGTCCTCTGCCTCGTCGTCCTTGGTGGCGGCGGGCTCAGGGGCGTGCGAGGGGTCTTCGTAGAACGGGTTGGGGTTCACCCCGTCCTCCCCCTCGTCCAGCACATCCTCCAGCACCTCCACTTCCGCCTTGTCCCGCAGGTGAGCGAGGATCAGATGATCCTCGCTCCCGTCTTCGGCACTGGAGATGCCGCAGTGAGGAATGCTTTCTTCACCAGCTCCTCTGGCACATCAGCCCATGACTCGACGATCCACTTGAGGATCACTTCAGGGGGGGGCTTCTTCAAGTTCCCTGGAGTTCACAAGAAGGTTGAACGGCAGAGATGTAAAGGCAGTGAAGTTAATGCTGCCTAGTCATCTTAAAGCTCAAAATCGACCACGACTCACCTGCACGTGTCGTTTGGCTGATCTCGACCTCCTCAAACCACGTGTTGTAGCGGTGGCGAACACCGCACTTGAAACTGCGGTTGGTGGAGACATCAAGCGGTTGCACCAGGGGGGTGCAACCGCCAGGGATGACGGCACGCGTCACCTTAAACATCTTCAGAGTTTGCCCCACGGATTCCGTCAGGTGCCCATTGTACGAGTCGAAGACAAGGAGCGCTTGCTTGCGCCGTCCGCCCTCGTCCCGCAACGACTTCAAGAAGGGGACGAGCACCTGTGTTGTCCAATCCTGGACAAGGCGCTCGTCCATCCAGCCCTTCTCTTGGGCGCGGATGACGATACCTGCAAACGCCACAACTGGAAATCAGTAACGGAGAAACGAGGAACATAAGGAATCAACGATGGAAACACATCGGGCTCACCTGGTGGCACCACGATTCGTGGCACCGTCTTCCGCTTGAAGATGACATACGGGGGAAGCTTCAGGCCGTCAGCCGTCACTGCCAACATGACAGTGACACGCTCCTTCTCGTACCCCGCCGTCCTTACATGCACCGTGCGGGCGCCTTTCATTTCGAGGGTGCGTTCCGCCGTCATCTCCAACCAGAGCGGGGCCTGGTCAGCGTTCACGATGAGGTTGAGGGGAAAGCGATGAACCATGCGCATTTGGCGGACGAATTCCCAGAAGGACTCCACCTTTCCCTTGCAATATGTTAAACACACAACAACACATGCGTTAGATAGCATTTTACCTAGACCGTTACTGCAAGGGGGGATGACAGGCAGCTTGCTCACCGGCGGCTAATTTTTGCCCCATCTTTGTCTTCACGCGTTGCGCCAACGACCACCGCACGCGGTAGCGAAAGGTCCAACGTGCCGATGCGCGAAAATCTGCGGTAGGCTGACGGTGCTTCATGTACTGAGATGCCCATTTGCGGAGAAGGCTCACCGACACCGCCAATCCTTTGGCACGGAACGCCAAGAATTGGCGGTAAACTGCTTTCTCCATCAGGGGCCACTTCGCCCTACGCCCTCCACCGTTAAGACGTCGGTGACAACCAGCGGCGACCTCGAGACGCTCCTTGAGTCGCCTCCACTCGCGGATTTGCTTGGGCTGCACCTTGACGAGCTTTGCCAAGCCACGGATGCTGAGGTCAGGCTGTGACTCCAACATGGCCAGCCAGTGCAGTTTCTCCTTGGCGGTGAACGCGTTACGAGAGCGTTTCGTCATCCTATGACGAGGGGAAGGAGGTGCAGCATCTAGAATTCTTCGTTTCATGCCTTGCGGGCGACTAGACTCCGGAAAAGTAGGGATCACGACTCTAGGAAGCGGCGGTCGGCGAATGCCATGGGAACTTTCGCTAGGATCACTCGAGGAAGGTGAAGTTGTTGGCAAAACGGGACGGGGTGAAACTCGTGCTTGCGATGCTCGATTAGCGTTAGTGGGACGAGGGCGCCTTGCGTGCGACATCCCTGAATCTGGAGACGTCACCATCGTGAACGATAGCTTACACCTCTAGCTACTGCTCTAAGTATTTCCTCCAGCCATGTTAAGACGACCATCCTAGAGCTACGGCCCCTAAGCGCACCACTCTGCCAAGCAGAAATCAGTTTCGTGCGTGGATGAAGAAACAGGCGGAAGAGAAGGATTGTGATGGGTGAAAGGATTGAGGTGCCTCCCGTTGAACAATAGGGGTTCCTGATGGGGCCACCGTGCAGCCCCTGCGCTCGAGCCGTGCATGTGTCAGGGTGTCGAAGTGGGATGGCACGCTGACGAGCCACAAAACGAATCTTAATGATGGAATGTGGTAACGTGCGATTTCGGCCAATGAGAATGCCACAAACTGATTCCCCTGTGTGATGTGGCTACATCGCAGAAGCCGCACATGTGCGGCCCAAACAACAGTGAAAAAAAAATGTCAAGCATCCTCATCAATGAGGCATTCGATTACACCTTTAAACATTATATCAATTTAATAAGACCCGGATATGAATTTTACAATCTTGTGCCGTTGACAAGACCCCCCCCTATTTTTTTTATGAATTTTACATAAGACCCTAGGGTCTACTATCCGGGAGATTACGGTATGCCTTAGATCCTAGTATGGGGTGTGTCGCATCAGGTGTGATTCATAATCGACACTCAAATATCATAACTCTGTGAGAAGACATCCCTAGGTGATGTCTAATTGACCCTAAGGAATGGTTAGATGTGCAGAACTTGGAGGTTATGGGCGCACAAACCCGCAACTTTACGAGCCCTCAAATCCTGGTGGTCTCGCGGTTAGTCAGAGATGGTATAAGAGCGAAGGTCTCGAATTCGAATCCCCATGTGCCCACATCTTGGCTTGACGCCTATGTTGATGCTGCCATGCCATATCCTAGGGCATTCTTGTCTAAGGAGTGTCAGAAGCCATGCAGTGGAGATGTCTGGTTGATCATATGGAGGGGTTACAGGTGCATATCCTAGCGGGGTATGGGCGCGCACACACATGACTTAAAACCCGAAGTCTGAATTACAAAACCTAGCGGAAGGTGTGAACAATTTGGGGCCCCGAACCTCCCTGGTTACCAGGTTTCCAACTGCAAACCGTAGTGAAGTCGTAGGCAGCACAGGGTTGGCTCACCCGGTGGGGACTTGGGCTCGAGTGTGCACAACAAGCAAACTTGTAATTCAGGCTTCAGGTTTTAACAAGTCGTTTTATCCCAATGATTTAGTGGTTGGGAATCCAAAGAAACGCTACTTATTTTTTTGCACTCAAAGTAGGATACTTGTAAATAAACAATGGCTTTGACGCGTGGAGGCATAGTTGTCATTTCCTCTGAATTTCGAAGAGGTATCTTCTTGATATCACGAAGTAGCCATCGGACAAGAGATTTTAACACATTGAGGCTTCTTAATTGACATCTGAAACTGTCACCGGTGCTTTTGTGGAATGGCGTGGCATGACTAAGGAAAATGTGGCTGTTCGTTCTCTTTACCAAATTGTGGTTATACATTCGTAATGCAACCATTGTTATGATAATTTGAAGGATTTCCGTGTAACGCGCCTCAGCGCCTTGGATCAGACGTGGCATCTGACACGCACTGACAGCCTCCTTCAACCCTAGGTTCTCGCCAATCGCGAAAACACAGATTCCATTTGTCACACTTCTTCCCCCAGTCCCGTGACAGATGGTCGTCATTCACGACATCGTGGAGAAGAACAGTTCAGGACCGCACAAAACCTCTCTAGAACTGCTCAAAGTGAACCCCATAACTGCGTCGGGGTTATCAACCTTTCTTAGGCACGGTCGCGTGCAGATCCGGAAGTATCGGTAGGAACGTTTCAAGACACCTTTCGTTAGGACCTGGAGGCAGCGACCACCTATACTGACAGTCTATCCTCTTTCGTCTCATTTCGTTACCTTTGGTGGTTCCTAGCATACTTATTCTACGTTGAGACTTAAGGGACCTGCGGCGACAGATTGGAACAAGTTTTAAGTCAGCATGGCATCAGCCGTCGTAGACGAGAAGCTGCTTCGTTTCGGCCAGGCCCTCGAGTCGGTCATCGACGCGGAGATTGAGAAGATAGAAACAGACGACATTCAACAACTAAGAGAGCGACGTCTAAAGGAGCTCAAGCAACAGGCACAGAAGAAGCAGGAGTGGTTAGCAGCCGGACACGGACATTTCAAAGAGCTTTCATCAGAAAAGGAGTTCTTCAGTGAAGTCAAAACCTCAGATAACGTCGTATGTCACTTCTTCCGGAGCAGCCGGCCATGTCAGGTACGTTTCCGTGTGCTCGAGAGGTGGCAATTTGTTGCACATCTAGCTAGAGTTCCCTTGTTTTTCCCTTTCGACTTTTATTGTTTTCCCCTTTCGACTTTTATTGAGTCGACTTGTTTTCCCTCCCAGATCATGGACAAGCACCTCGAGATCTTGGCGAGAGAGCATTTAGAAGCCAAGTTCCTCAAGATCAACGCGGAGAAGAGCCCGTACCTGGCCGAGAAACTGCGTATATTCATGCTTCCAACGTTGGCCCTGGTTCACAAAGGCAAAGTTACGGGATACGTTGTAAGTGACCTGCTATTCGTGCCTTTCTGTCCTCCTTTTGAAACGAATCGGTTGCATTAGGTCATAATGCATTATTCTCCCGCCAAACGCAGGTTGGATTTGACGAGCTTGGTGGAACTGAAGAATTTTCCACAGAAGTTCTCGAGACTCGGCTAGTCCTTGGTGGAGCTCTCGCTGATGAGAAGCTGTCTGGCAGTAGACCATCCAAGCAGGCAGCCGCTACCGTGAGACGAGGCGGTGACGATGGCAGCGATGACGATGATTACTGAACTTTTTCTTGCCGTCCTTAACGTCTATACTAGCGGTTCAATCCAGTAGCTATACTAATTATATGGAAATTTCAGGTGTTAGGCCACTTGTTGTACGTTAGTCATTAGCCAAGAAAACCCATCAGCTACAGCTGCAAAAATATTGTGACGACCTGCATCCAGGAGACCTAAACTTCTCTGAAGGTATGTAGATATGAACGAATAAAACCGCTAACCACCTAAAAAACAAATATAGTGTACTACTATGGTGAATCTAGTGTGGCAGCAACACATCAGATACCCGAGTATCGCCTGTCATGCATATTAATGTGGTGCGTATGAGTCCCACTGGTTCATCCCTCCAGGCTGTGCTACAGTGGAATCAGGTGTAACATACGGCATGGGCGGCACTGGCAGCACTCCCTCCTGTTCCTGCCCGTAGTTATACAGCTGAGCTGGCGCCTGATAATGATGAAGCGTGCTGTACTGGGTCTGATGCGTTGGGTACGGTTGGTTATAGTAATCATTACCGTAGGCATAGGTTTGGTGTTGGTGGTAGTCTGGCTGAGGGGGAACTTGCTGCTGGTAATCCACATGGCTGTACTGCTGAGGCTGCTGCTGCTGCTGCTGCTGCTGCTGCTGCTGCTGCTGCTGCTGCTGCTGCTGATATCCACTGTAGCTCCCTATTGGGCCTCTAGGATCAGAAACGGTCGGCTGGGATGCACTTGTGTAGAAACGAGCGAACGGATTTGATGCTCCCTGTTGCTGTTGCTGTACCTGCTGTTGCTCTAGCTGCTGTTGCTCTTGCTGCTGTTGCTGTTGCTGTTGCTGTTGCTGCTGCTGCTGCTGCTGCTGCTGCTGCTGCTGCTGCTGCTGCTGCTGCTGCTGCTGCTGCTGCTGGCTTGTGAGAGGGGGAGAGCGGAAGCGAGTGGGGGACTGAAGCTGTGAGGATGACTGAACAGCCGAGGGAGACTGCAGGCCTGAGGGCGATTGAAGCCGTGATGGCGTTTGGGCACTGGAGGGAGGGGACTGTAACGAAGCTGCTCTTAGAGAGGCAGGCGCGAGGGCAGACGGCCGAGAATGGGAGTGATGCTTGTGATGGGACCCACTCGGCCTTGCTGCTCCTGCTGCTGCTCCAGCTGCGGCCCTTCCCCTGACCAAATGAGCAGTAGCAGCAGCAGATATGGAGGGAATAACCCATTGGACGTCTGGTGGGGGAGGCGAGGCAAAGTCGATACTCACCCCTCCCCCTTCCCCTCCCCTCCCCCCTCCCCCTCCTCCTCTTCCTCCCGCTGCCATTTCTGCTTGGGCAGCAGATGCCCCCCCAGTGCGCCCCTCCCCCACCCCTTCTGACGCCAGACCCAGGTTCAGCTGAAACGCACCACTCTCTGCCCTGCCTCTTGCGCCCTCCGCCCCCTCACCATCTCTCCCTCCCCGTGCTGCTGCTGCTGCTGCTTCTGCTTCTTCACTCCCGAATCCCCTTCCTCTCTCCTCCGCTCCACCCCCTCCTCCTCCTCCCCTTCCTACACCTCCTCCTCCTCCTGCCCCGGCACCATCGCCCTCCAGGAGAAAATCCGTGATAAAGTCAAGAGTGGGGGTGTTGCCTCTCGAAACCCCACCAGCACCACCAGCACCAGCATCAGCACCACCAGCACCAGCGCCAGCAGCAACAGCAGCAGCAGCGCCATACGTGTCTGCTCTCTCAACTGCACCATAGGAGCGGTCGAATGTGCTCGTTGGCTCGGCCCTCCGGTCATCCCTCCACACATCCAGCAATGTGTTCACATCTGCTCGTTGCCCCTGCTGCTGCTGCCCCCGATCCTGCTGTCCGTGCTGCCCCTTGTGCTGCTGGGGTTGACCAGAGCTACTGGGTACTGCCCTTCCCACAGCAGCATTCGTTGCTGGAACGTCCTCCTCCCCCTCACTATCACTCAAAGCGATCGGATTGTCCTCCCCTCCCCGATCCCCGAACCAGTTCGCCCCACTCCCTCCACGCACTCCTGCCCCCGCCCCCACACCCGCACTTCCCCCCAATCCTCTCCCCCCCACTCCTCCCCCTCTCCCCTGGCTCGCCTCTCTCCCGCGCCCACTGTTACGATTGCCCAGAGAGGACCTGTCGTCATGCCCTGACTCTGCCGTCTGTGCTGCTCCCACACTGGACGTCCGCCCTGCATCCGCTGCTGCCCCGTTCCTCCCTGCTACAGCCGCTACAGCCGCTGCTGCCATGCCTGCTTGCACTGCTCCTGACGCCCCAGGCCATCCCGCTAGCACTGCTGCTGCTGATAAGTCTCCATTGCCGCGGGCGCTGAATCCCCGTTGCTCTCCTATACCCCCTCTCGTTGTATTCCCCCCAAACCCAAGAGACAAACCAACGTCATCTCCTGCTAGAGTAGGCCCGTTGGCCCCCCCTCCTCCTCCTGCTCTGCCTGTGTCTGCTCCTGTTTCTACGCCTCCTCTTCCTATTGGCCATCTGGTTCGCTGTCTCTTGGGAGTGTGCACGCCAATGGGAGCAGCAAATGTACCAGCAGCACCAGTTGCACCAGCACCCCCATCAGTACCATCACCGAGCAACTCAATCACCACAGGCTGATGCTGGAACGGCAACTGCTGCTGCTGATAATACTGCTGCTGCTGGCCCTGCAGCTGCTGCTGAAACTGCCCCGACTGCTGCTGCTGCTGCAAAGCCTGCCTGCAATCCACCTCACTCCCGCCTGGCTCATCCTTCCCCATCCACCTTCCCCTCTTTGCCCTTGACTCGCCAGACAGCAAATCCCACGCCCCTCCTGCAGCTGACCGTGTCCCACTCGTCACATCATCTGCCGTATCCCCTTGCCCCTCCACCATCCCATTCCCGTTCACTCCCACTCCCACACCCACTCCCACCCCAACCTCAGCCCCCACGCCCATCTCCCTCTTCACCTGCCCTTCAGGGAAGCGCACGTCTCGCCAGATGAGAGCAGCTGCAGCGGCGGCAGCGGCAGCAGGCGTTGACTTGGCTGACTTGCCTGCTTTGGTAAAACGAAGAAACGGGAGTCCATATGAGACGAGATGCATTTTGAAAAAAAAAAAAAAAAAGCACTCGTTGAATTTCTTGACTTGGCTGACTTGCCTGCTTTGGACGCTGAATGAAAAGATAGCTTGGGTAGCATGGTTTTTGAGTCGACTCATAAGGCATTATTGACTTAGTTGACTTGGATGACTTGCCTGCTTTGGACGAGGTGTGAAGAGATTCCAGCTTGGGCCGCCACGTGCCGTCGCCCCTCAGTTGAATGTCAGTGACGTCACTGTCATACTGAGCCATCTGGGGGGGAGAAGGAGGGGAGAAGGAGGTGCGTGGAGGGGGGGAGTCGGATGGGAGGCGGGCGAGAGCCCTTTGAGGCGGCACCGCACGTGCCATCCGCCCTGAGTTTAATGTTAGTGACGTCACTGTCGTACTGGGCCATGTGGGGGGGGAGTAAAGGGGGGGAAAGGGGGGCAGGGGGGAGGGGCAGAGTAGGCGGGGTAGCAATTAACAACAATGTGGCGTCCACCCTGAGTTGAATGACTTTTGAGTCGACTCAGAAGTTGAATGTTAGTGGCGTCACTGTCGTCTGAAGCCACCTGTGGGGGAAGGGGAGAGGGGGAAGGGGAAGGGTGGGAGAGGGGAATGGGGATGACAGTATGTACATCGCTTCTTGGGAGGAGGCGAGGGCATGTTTGTGCACCTCGTGGCCTTACAAACATGCAAACAGGAGAGGGAGGAGGGGAGCAGGCGGGGGGGAGGGGGGTGGTTGGGGGGCGGGAAGAGGGAGAACGGACACACCTCTTGGCAGACACAGTGGAAGAAGGGGTTGATGATGAGCGAGTGGGGTGGGACACGCAAGGAGGTTGGGAGGGGGAACGCACCTCTTTAGTCAGGAGGGGGTGGGAAGGGCGACACAGCTGGCGCGGTGGAGGAATGGGTCCATGACGAATGAGTCGAGAGCGTAGAGCTAACGTGGGCCCCATTAAGGTGCCATGCACGTGGCACGGCAGCAACTGATGTACGGGGTGTATAGGTGTTTGCTTGAGGGAATGCACCTCCCAGAGATGATTGTCGACATATTTTGGATGAAGGATGCCAGCTAACCCAGCTGCTCACAATACCTCACTTCCAGCCACTTTAGTCGAGACAAGTCTTGGAACGAAGCAGGAAGGCTGCGAAGATTCTGCGGATTACTAAAGCGGAGATATTGTAGGGTGATTTATTTTCCAAAGTTATATGGAAGAGATAACGACTCAAAACAGTTACCAAGTGAGCAACGCCGTAGGCTGGGTAGATAAAAATACAACTTTGAAAGCTTCGATACCTTTGGACAATCACAGATCACCAACCACTCGAGCTTCATCAGCTGTCCAATCGTCCCTGGCACGTGGCACGGCAGCAACTGATGTACGTGGTGTATAAGTGTTGTCTTAAAGGAACGCACCTTCCAGGGACGATTGGACGGCTGAAAAAACTCGAATGGTTGGTGACCTGTGATTGTCCAAAGGTATTCAAGCTTCCAAAGTCGTTTCCTAATCTGCCCGGCCTACAGCGTTGCTCGCTTGGTAACTGCTTCAAATCGTCATCTCTTCCATATAACTTCAGAACAATTCTCTCCCTACAATATCTTCGCCTTAGTAATCTGCTGAATCTTCGCAGCCTCCCTGCTTCGTTCCAAGACTTGCCTCGACTAAAGTGGCAGGCAGTGAGGTATCGTGAGGTATCTCAATTCCAACCACTCTAGTCGAGACAAGTCTTGGAACAAAGCAGAGAGGGTGCGAAGATTCCGCAGATTACGAAGACTAAGATATTGTAGGGAGAAAAATGTTCCAAAGTTTTATGGAAGAGACGACGACTCGAAGCAGTTACCAAGTGAGCAATGCCGTAGGCTGGGCAGATTAGAAAACGACTCTGGAAACTTCGATACTTTTGGACAGTAACAAAACACCAACCGCTCGAGCTTCTTCAGCCATCCAATCGTCACTGGCACGGCAGCAAGTGATGTACGTGGCAGCAACTGATGTGGGTGGCATCAACTGATGTTGGTGGCAGCAACTGGGGTACATGGGAGCAACTGATGTGCGTGGGAGCAACTGATGTGCGTGGCAGCAACTGATGTGCGTGGCAGCAACTGGTGTGCGTGGCAGCAACTGATGTGCGTGGCAGCAACTGGTGTGCGTGCCAGCAACTGGTGTGCGTGGCAGCAACTGATGTGCGTGGCAGCAACTGGTGTACATGGCAGCAACTGGTGTGCGTGGCAGCAACTGATGTGCGTGGCAGCAACTGATGTGCGTGGCAGCAACTGATGTGCGTGGCAGCAACTGGTGTACATGGCAGCAACTGGTGTGCGTGGCAGCAACTGGTGTACATGGCAGCAACTGGTGTGCGTGGGAGCAACTGATGTACGTGGCAGCAACTGGTGAACATGGCAGCAACTGGTGTGCGTGGCAGCAACTGGTGTGCGTGGCAGCAACTGGTGTGCGTGGCAGCAACTGATGTGCGTGGCAGCAACTGGTGTGCGTGGCAGCAACTGGTGTGCGTGGCAGCAACTGATGTGCGTGGCAGCAACTGATGTGCGTGGCAGCAACTGATGTGCGTGGCAGCAACTGGTGTACATGGCAGCAACTGGTGTGCGTGGCAGCAACTGGTGTACATGGCAGCAACTGGTGTGCGTGGGAGCAACTGATGTACGTGGCAGCAACTGGTGTACGTGGCAGCAACTGGTGTGCGTGGCAGCAACTGGTGTGCGTGGCAGCAACTGGTGTGCGTGGCAGCAACTGGTGTGCGTGGGAGCAACTGATGTGCGTGGCAGCAACTGGTGTGCGTGGCAGCAACTGATGTGCGTGGCAGCAACTGGTGTGCGTGGCAGCAACTGATGTGCGTGGCAGCAACTGATGTGCGTGGCAGCAACTGGTGTACATGGCAGCAACTGGTGTGCGTGGCAGCAAAGCAACTGGTGTGCGTGGGAGCAACTGATGTACGTGGCAGCAACTGGTGCAAATGGCAGAAACTGGTGTGCGTGGCAGCAACTGGTGTGCGTGGCAGCAACTGGTGTGCGTGGCAGCAACTGGTGTGCGTGGCAGCAACTGATGTGCGTGGCAGCAACTGGTGTGCGTGGCAGCAACTGGTGTGCGTGGCAGCAACTGGTGTGCGTGGCAGCAACTGATGTGCGTGGCAGCAACTGGTGTGCGTGGCAGCAACTGGTGTGCGTGGCAGCAACTGGTGTGCGTGGCAGCAACTGATGTGCGTGGCAGCAACTGGTGTGCGTGGCAGCAACTGGTGTGCGTGGCAGCAACTGGTGTGCGTGGCAGCAACTGGTGTGCGTGGCAGCAACTGGTGTGCGTGGCAGCAACTGGTGTGTGTGGCAGCAACTGGTGTGCGTGGCAGCAACTGGTGTGCGTGGCAGCAACTGATGTGGGTGGCAGCAACTGGTGTGCGTGGCAGCAACTGGTGTGCGTGGCAGCAACTGATGTGCGTGGCAGCAACTGGTGTGCGTGGCAGCAACTGGTGTGCGTGGCAGCAACTGGTGTGCGTGGCAGCAACTGATGTGCGTGGCAGCAACTGGTGTGCGTGGCAGCAACTGGTGTGCGTGGCAGCAACTGGTGTGCGTGGCAGCAACTGATGTGTGTGGCAGCAACTGGTGTGCGTGGCAGCAACTGGTGTGCGTGGCAGCAACTGGTGTGCGTGGCAGCAACTGGTGTGCGTGGCAGCAACTGATGTGCGTGGCAGCAACTGGTGTGCGTGGCAGCAACTGGTGTGCGTGGCAGCAACTGATGTGCGTGGCAGCAACTGGTGTACATGGCAGCAACTGGTGTGCGTGGCAGCAACTGGTGTACATGGCAGCAACTGGTGTGCGTGGGAGCAACTGATGTACGTGGCAGCAACTGGTGTACGTGGCAGCAACTGGTGTGCGTGGCAGCAACTGGTGTGCGTGGCAGCAACTGGTGTGCGTGGCAGCAACTGGTGTGCGTGGGAGCAACTGATGTGCGTGGCAGCAACTGGTGTGCGTGGCAGCAACTGATGTGCGTGGCAGCAACTGGTGTGCGTGGCAGCAACTGATGTGCGTGGCAGCAACTGATGTGCGTGGCAGCAACTGGTGTACATGGCAGCAACTGGTGTGCGTGGCAGCAAAGCAACTGGTGTGCGTGGGAGCAACTGATGTACGTGGCAGCAACTGGTGCAAATGGCAGAAACTGGTGTGCGTGGCAGCAACTGGTGTGCGTGGCAGCAACTGGTGTGCGTGGCAGCAACTGGTGTGCGTGGCAGCAACTGATGTGCGTGGCAGCAACTGGTGTGCGTGGCAGCAACTGGTGTGCGTGGCAGCAACTGGTGTGCGTGGCAGCAACTGATGTGCGTGGCAGCAACTGGTGTGCGTGGCAGCAACTGGTGTGCGTGGCAGCAACTGGTGTGCGTGGCAGCAACTGATGTGCGTGGCAGCAACTGGTGTGCGTGGCAGCAACTGGTGTGCGTGGCAGCAACTGGTGTGCGTGGCAGCAACTGGTGTGCGTGGCAGCAACTGGTGTGCGTGGCAGCAACTGGTGTGGGTGGCAGCAACTGGTGTGCATGGCAGCAACTGGTGTGCGTGGCAGCAACTGATGTGGGTGGCAGCAACTGGTGTGCGTGGCAGCAACTGGTGTGCGTGGCAGCAACTGATGTGCGTGGCAGCAACTGGTGTGCGTGGCAGCAACTGGTGTGCGTGGCAGCAACTGGTGTGCGTGGCAGCAACTGATGTGCGTGGCAGCAACTGGTGTGCGTGGCAGCAACTGGTGTGCGTGGCAGCAACTGGTGTGCGTGGCAGCAACTGATGTGTGTGGCAGCAACTGGTGTGCGTGGCAGCAACTGGTGTGCGTGGCAGCAACTGGTGTGCGTGGCAGCAACTGGTGTGCGTGGCAGCAACTGATGTGCGTGGCAGCAACTGGTGTGCGTGGCAGCAACTGGTGTGCGTGGCAGCAACTGGTGTGCGTGGCAGCAACTGATGTGCGTGGCAGCAACTGGTGTGCGTGGCAGCAACTGGTGTGCGTGGCAGCAACTGGTGTGCGTGGCAGCAACTGATGTGCGTGGCAGCAACTGGTGTGCGTGGCAGCAACTGATGTGCGTGGCAGCAACTGGTGTGCGTGGCAGCAACTGGTGTGCGTGGCAGCAACTGGTGTGCGTGGCAGCAACTGATGTGCGTGGCAGCAACTGGTGTGCGTGGCAGCAACTGGTGTGCGTGGCAGCAACTGGTGTGCGTGGCAGCAACTGGTGTGCGTGGCAGCAACTGGTGTGCGTGGCAGCAACTGGTGTGTGTGGCAGCAACTGGTGTGCGTGGCAGCAACTGGTGTGCGTGGCAGCAACTGATGTGGGTGGCAGCAACTGGTGTGCGTGGCAGCAACTGGTGTGCGTGGCAGCAACTGGTGTGCGTGGCAGCAACTGATGTGCGTGGCAGCAACTGGTGTGCGTGGCAGCAACTGATGTGCGTGGCAGCAACTGGTGTGCATGGCAGCAACTGGTGTGCGTGGCAGCAACTGATGTGCGTGGCAGCAACTGGTGTGCGTGGCAGCAACTGGTGTGCGTGGCAGCAACTGGTGTGCGTGGCAGCAACTGGTGTGCGTGGCAGCAACTGATGTGCGTGGCAGCAACTGGTGTGCGTGGCAGCAACTGGTGTGCGTGGCAGCAACTGGTGTGCGTGGCAGCAACTGATGTGCGTGGCAGCAACTGGTGTGCGTGGCAGCAACTGGTGTGCGTGGCAGCAACTGGTGTGCGTGGCAGCAACTGGTGTGCGTGGCAGCAACTGATGTGCGTGGCAGCAACTGGTGTGCGTGGCAGCAACTGGTGTGCATGGCAGCAACTGGTGTGCGTGGCAGCAACTGATGTGCGTGGCAGCAACTGGTGTGCGTGGCAGCAACTGATGTGCGTGGTGTATAGATGTTTGCTTGAGGGAACGCACCTCCCAGAGACGATTGGACGGCTGAAGAAGCTGGAGTGGTTGGTGATCTGTGATTGTCCAAAGATAACAAAGCTTTCGACAATGGAATCTTCGATACTTTTGGACAATAACAAATCACCAACCACTCGAGCTTCTTCAGCCGTCCAATCGTCTCTGGCACGTGGCACGGCAGCAACTGATGTGCGTGGCAGCAAGTGATGTACGCAGTGTATAAGTGTTTGCTTAAAGGGAACGCACCTCCTCACAGACGCGGTGGAAGAAGGGATCGATGATGAGTGAGTCGAGCGCGTAGAGCTTCATGCACACCGGACACTGCCACTGGGGGGAACAAATGAGGGAAGTGGGGGGGACAAAGGGCGCAGGGCGGAGGGGAGGAGTGGAGTGAGCTACTGTTGAGGGTCGATGGGGTTGATAATGAACAAGTCGAGCTTGTAGAGCTTTATGCACAAGGGGCACTGCCACTGGAGGGAGGAACAGGGCGGAATGTGGAGAAGAGGAAGGGAGGAGCGGAGTAAGTTATGGGTGCGCATTGAAGGGGTGCTGATGAGTGAGTCGAGCGCATAGAGCTTCATGCACACGGGGCACTGCCACTGGGGGGTGGGGCAGGGGAGGGCAGAGGAGAGGGCGAAGGGGGCAGGGGGGTATGGGGCAAAGAATAGGGGAGGAGTGGAGTGCGTTATGGTTGAGGGTCGAAGGGATCGATGATGAGTGAGTCGAGCGGGTAGAGCTTCATGCACACAGGGCACTTCCACTGGGGGGAGCAGAGGAGGGAAGGGGGGGGGACAAAGGGCGCAGGGCGGAGGGGAGGAGTGGAGTGAGCTAAAGTTGAGGGTTGATGGGGTCAAAGATGAGTGAATCGCACTTTTGAATCGCATTGACACTCGCCCTTCAGAAAAATCACACCTTCGCACCTCAACTCTCAACGTACCTTGCGAGCGCGTTGGTTAATCTCAATGAATGTGTGCAGGTCGAAGCACCCCATGTGCGCACACTCCCTGAACCGCCCCGCCTCTCGAATGCGCGAGCCGCTCATCTGGGAAAGAGGGGGAGGAGGGTGTGAGCAATCGACCAAAATAATCAACCAGCTTCCAAAATCAACAGGGGAAGAGGGGAGGCAGGTGTGATAATAGGCAGTCATCTGAAGTAGCGAGGGAGGGGAGGCAGATGTAACTCTGCAGTCAGTTGGGATGGGAAGACGGTCCAGCCTTGCTGCAAAGCCACTCGTCCGTGGAAGAGCAGGATGTGTGTGTGTGTGTGTGTGTGTGTGTGTGTGTGTGTGTGTGTGTGTGTGCGTGCGTGCTTGCGTGCGTGCGTGTGTGTGTGTGTGTGTGTGCTTGCACAAGCACACTCACAGGGCAGCGCAGGTTGAGAGTCACATGGTCCTGCATCACAATCAGATCGCTGCTGCCACTGCTGTCCGAAGACACTGCTGGCTTCGCCGCACCCCCACCCCCCCCACCATCTGCACCACCACCACCGCCTGCCCCTCCTTTCTCACTCCCCCCTCCGCCCCCTCCTCCCCCCACACAGCGCTTCACTCGAGCGAGAGCGGATTCGAGTGACTCCCCTACGTCCAGAGGTGGAATCATGGCCATCACCTGGTGGCATGGCAGGTGAAGGTTGAGGGGTGTGAGGGTGTTGAAGCAAAGCGCTTCACTCGACCGAGAGCAGACTCGGATGACTTCCCCGTGCCCACAGGAAGAAACACTGCCTTTACCATATAGCGGCAAGGGATGGGTCATGGATGTTGATAACAGCCCACGCCCCTGCCTTTTCACCACACATCACAACACATTATCGCATGTCACTGCACACCACACCACATCACCACACTTCACCACGCCACCACACATCACCGCACCGCATAGCACCGCACTCACCTCATCCAAGGAGCGCTTGCGGATGATGCGCATGCCGATGCAGAAGGGACGGGGCACATCTGTTGATAACAACCCATCACCGCACACCACCGCGTTTCACACCACACATACCTCATCAAACGATCGCTTGCGGATGATGCGAACACCAATGCAGAAGGGGCGCTTGTCAATGGCAGCCAGTGCCACGTGGTTGTCCCCTGCATGGCACGCCTCTGCTATCTGGAGGGGTACAGGGGGCGGGGGGAGGGGTGGGGGTGAAAGCAGGGGAGCGAAGGGGCGTGTTGTCGGTCGATGGCAGCTAGGGCCATGCGGCTCTCCCCTGGATGCCACGCCTACACCATCTGTGCAAGCGAGGCAGGGGAGAAAGTTCAATGGAGAGAAAGGTTGAAATCGCGTGATGAGGGCACATGTTGTCAGTGGCAGCGAGCACCACGCGGTTGTCCCCTGCATGGCATGGCTTGCTAACTGGGGAGGCGAGGTGGGGGAGAGAAAGGGCAGGGGAGAGATTGCGGAAGAGCGGGCAGGGGAGAGAAAGGGTAAGGGTTGCAAAAAAGGGCATACTTGTTGTCATGCCAATGGCAGCACGAAGAGCAGGACGAAGTGTAAGTGTGGAACGGCAGCGTGAGTGCAGGTATGGCAGGCAGCATGAGAGAGAAAAAAAGGCATCCATTAGAACAGCAGGCAAGGCAGAGCAGAGCAGAGCGTACCGAGGGCCCGTCGTCGCGGCCGTTTGCTCCCAGCAGTTGCTGCCCCGGACGGTTGGTGACCCGCACACTGCGACCTGCGCGTGAGGAGAGGAGAGGGGAGGGGGGCGGAGGGGAGGAGATGGGAGGGGAAGGGGGGAGGGAGGGAGAGAGCAACAGAGGAGGAACGAGAGAAGGAGAGGCAATCAGAGCACCGTCGTATCGCCCTGTTTGCTCCCAGCAGCTGCAGCCAAGGCCGGTTGATGACCCGCACACTGCGACCTGCGAGTGAGGGAGAGGAGGGGAGGGGAGCGGAGGGGAGGGGAGGGAGAGAGCAAAGAGGCACGCATGAAAACATTGAGCGAGTTCAATATTGCAGCTACGCAGCACAAGAAACGCGAGCGTGTCAACTTATTCAACGGTTCATGTTGAGCCTGCTCAGCTCAGCTCATTTTCTAGGCGAATTAATACGCTTGATTGCAAAAACTTAAACTCGACATATTGCTGAACTGCTACACGATTCGCTGCTCTCTGTATGCTTCTGTGATGGTACGATTAAAGCCCGCAGCCCAAGTTGTTCAACCTTACTAAGGTTGACCATTGGGTGGTGGGGGAGGTGGACAAAGAAAAGTCGAGGTCCTGAGAGGGTGGGTGGAGTTGGTTTCGCCCAGATTTTCGCCACGCTGTGTTTTTCTTGCTGACTCAGCAAACACCAGGGGCCAGCTCGCGTTCAGTTTCGAGAGTCCCATGTTGCACAGATAATAATATTGAAAGTTTCCCGCTGCTCACGTTTCGCGAACCCAGTGCATGTGCCTTGGCCAATCAGATCTCTTCTCACAATAACCCTAATTCGCACAAGAAAAAAAACCAAAGCAACGCTCGATCAAGAATAGTAAGGTTGACCCGCGCGATCCGCAACTTGGGCCACCGGCTTTAGAGAAAAGCCACAGACACACAGACACACACAACAGAGGGAACTCACTGTTGATTTGCAGTTGTGGGTATGCAGGCCAGTGCATGCGGTTGGCAGTCTTGTCATTTAGCAATACACACCACACCTGGTGGCATCCAATCCAATTCATTCATAATTTAAAGGAAACCCAAGCGACGCATGGAAGGAGAGAGTGGAAACCCAAATAATCAAGAGATAATTAGTAGATTGTCTGTATATGATAATTAATATATAACAATACATAGATATACATTTGGGGGCAACAATGGGACAAACGAGCAGCAACTAAGGCACAACTGTGAAGAGCAGAGGGAGAGCAATTACGCATGCATGTGGTATGGTTTCAGTAGGTCGGGCTCACTCACTCACCTGCAGGTAGTGGTGCGGGCGTCTGAGCAGAGAGAGGTCGTGTGGGGTGAGAGTGAAGGTGTGCTCTAGTCGCTGCAGCACTTGGTTGCTGCGGGGGAGAGGTGAGATTGGAGAAGAGGAGGGGGAAGGGGGGGAGAAGGGGGGGCGAGGGGAGGATTGAACACGAGAGTGAAGGTGTGCTCTAGTCAATGCAGCACCTGGTTGCTGCGGGAGGGAGGCAAGGAGGGATTAAGGGAGGTGTGGAGAGAGGAAGAGAGCATGGAGAGGGAGGGGTGAGAGTGAAGGTGTGCTCTAGTCGCTGCAGCACCTGGTTGCTGGAGGGCGGGAAAAAATGGAGCACGGAAGGGACGTGTGGTGAGCGGGACGGGAGACAAGGACGGCCCGAGTTGCCCGACCACACGATATGACACCAGCACTGGCTCTCCTCCTCCCAATATTATTTTTTTAGAATTCTCAAGAACCAACACGATATGACACCACTGGCACTTACACCACCCAATGCCTCTCCTCCCAATGCTTCTCGCAACAATGATCACAGCGTATATCACAGTCTTAGGCCGTCTCGAACCTCACCTTATCTCATCAAGGTTCAACCTCACATCATCTCATGTAGCAGCTTCGTAGCACGCTCACTCCCTGAGCACCTTCAACACACTCACTCACTGAGCACCTTCAGCACGCTCACTCTCTGGGCACCTTCAAAACACTCACTTGTCCCCGGGCAGGCGAATGAGCGCAGTTGGTGGCATCGGATTGGCCACAGGGACAGAAAATCTGATATCTGGCAGACCGGCAGCGCAAGAATGGTGATGGGAGAAAGGGGTTGGAGACGAAAACAAAAACAAAGGGAGCGAGTAAGGAACGAAGACAGGAGAATATACTGGCCGCCGACGACTAGGAAAATTCCTCAGCGCCAGGATCGGAAGGCTGGTCCGGGGAATGGGGACAGCAGAAAGCCACAATACCTTTACCAGAAGTGACAGATACAGGTCTTCCTCCCCTGCAGTTAAGCTACGAGTGGCACTCATGGTTCTCCCTTGCCTAAACCTAGTCAAGAGTCACGTCACACTTACGGGTCGCCCCGGGCCATTCTGCAGAGCTCGCAGTGGTGGAGTGGGGTGGGCTGTCTGTGACGCAGAACTATCTATTTCTCGAACCCAGATGTCAGCTGAGAATTACACTTACGGGTCGCCGCGGGCCATGCGGCAGAGCTCGCAGTAGTGGTGTTCGGGGAGGGGAGGGAAGGTGGTGGGGTGGGGTGGGGCTCTGAACGCTGTTCAAGGCAATTCTACAACCCTTATGGCAGCTATGAGTCACACTCACGGGTCACCCCGGGCCATGCGGCAGAGCTCGCAGTAGTGGTGTTCCGGGAGGGGAAGGTCAGGCTGGGGCGCTGCAGAGGTGTCTCCCGTGAGAGGCGGGTTCTCTGGCAGAATGACGCACTTCACATGCTGCCACACGCCACAACCCTGGCCCTCGCACTGCAAACGGTGGGGTAAGGGGTGGGGCCCGTGGGGGAGAGCAAGAATGGATGGGCAGCAGAAGGTGTCTCCCGTGAGAGGCGGGTTCTCTGGCAGGATGACGCACTTCACATGCTGCCACACTCCACACCCCTGGCCCTCGCACTGAGTGAGGAGGAAGGAGGGAGGGATATGGTATGGTAAGGAGGAAGGGGGAAAATGGGGTGAGGCAGGAAGAGATAGGGAGAGAGGGGGATTCAGAGGCGGGTTTCTTGGCAGAATGACGCACTTCACATTGCCACACACCACAGCCCTGGCCCTCGCACTGGGTGAGGAGGAAGGTGGGGGGGTCCCGGATGGATTTGACGCTAGGGAGGCCCTGCGTAGGGGAAGCGGAAAGGCAAGGGTAGGAGGAAACCTTTGAGTCGACTCAAAAGTCATGATGCTAGGGAGGCCCAGCGTAGGGGAAGGGAAAAGGTAATGGTAGATGGGGGCAGGGGCGTTATAGGCACAAACACACCACCTAAGCTACCTCCACTTTTGCGTCGCGTCTAAACAGGCACGTTCCACCTGTCCATTGTTGGAAGAACCTGCCTGTTTAGAGGCAGCTCTCTAAACACGCACGTTCCACTGCTACAGAACTTGTCAACAATGAATGGAGAGCTGGGCTGCGGAGGTGGGCTGCGGAGGTGGGCTGCAGAGGTGGGCTGCGGAGGTGGGCTGCGGTGCGGAGGCGTTACTTCCATCAACTTTAGTGGGTACACCTCCATGCAGGCACGTTTCACCACCACAATACACCCACGGTCAACCACAGTACATCCACCCACCCACCTGGATCATAGTCTTCCCGTTGTCAAAGTTTCGTAAGCAAACGCACCGAATCACCTCCACCTGCTGCTGCTGCTGCCCGTACACATCCCCCCTTCCAGCAGCCGCCCTCTTACTAGCCCTCCCTCCCCCGCCTGGCTCTGTTTTCACTCCCCTAGATGACCCATGCCCATGCCCATGCCCGTGCCCATGCCCATGCCCATGTCTACTTTGCTGCTGCTGCTGGTGGTGGTGTTGCTGCTGCTGCTGCTGCTGCTGCTGCTGCTGCTGCTGCTGCGGGGAAGCGAAGCCTCCATCAGGAGCCATATTCCCGTCTTCCTGTGCTCCCGCCTCTGTCCTACCCACTACCTCTACCCTAGCACCTGTCTCCGCCCTACCAGCTGTCTCCGCTCCTCCGCGCCCTCCCCCACGTCCCTGTCGACCCTCTCCTCGCGTCTCCTCTGCGGCTGCACTGGGGAGGCGACTGGCGTGTCCCCCTGCTGCCCAGTGCTTCGTAGAGACCTGCAGAGGGGCAGAAGGAAGGGAGAAACGAGACAAGGCATTGACCATGGGAGGATGGGGGACGGTGTGAAGGGAGTAACACAACAAGGCATCTCCTCTCGCCCCCTCTGATGCTGCACTGGGGAGGCGACTGGCGTGTCGCCCTGCTGCCCAGTGCTTCGCAGCGACCTGAGAGGGATAACATGAGAACGGAAGGGGAGTGGGAGCAAATACACAGGAACCGGGTCTGTCTGCCCCCCTCACACACACCTCCCTCGCACGCACCCACCTCACACCACTCCCCTCACACACCACTCTACCCGGACGTCTCTTGAATGAACTCGGGCCTCGGCTGCTTGCACATGAGTGATGGTGGGCTACTCTCCTTCACACGCACCTCCCTCACACACACTTCCCCCACACACACCTCCCCCACACACGCCTTCCCCACACGCACGCACCTCCCCCACATGCCACTTTCCATCCACCACTTTACCTGTATGTCTCTTGAATGAACTCGGCTACTTGCGTGGGAGTGATGGTGGGCACGCCTGCAAGGGAGGACACGGAAGGGTATGAAAGGCAAGGACAGAAGCGAGGAAGGAAAGATGAGGGAAGGACGAGCGGTGGGAAGAGGGAAATGGATGCACGTTAGATTCGGGCGGCGTGAGGATGAGCTTGGGTGCATGCATGCGGGCAGGTGTGATGGTCAGCAGAAAGCACGCAGTATGATATGTCCGGGAGTAAGGAAGGGAGAGGGCCGGATGAGCGGAGGGAGATGGACTTCATGAGATGACATGTGCGCCATTGGAGGACCAATAGGAGGAGTGCATGAGACGGCTAGGAACGGCCACGTGGCAGGGTTGCTTGCAGTAGAAGGCGAGATCATTACACTTCTGTTGAGATAAGGAGATCAGATCACGGCCGTTGGATGGAAGAGGAGCACTTACGGCCGTTGAAGGGGACAGATGGGGATGATAAGAGCGCTTCAATTCGATCCACCAGCACCTGTTCCCCGTGCCATGTGTTGTGAGGCGTGTGAGGAATGTGGGGCATGTGCGGCATGTGAGGCATGTGGGGCATGTGGGGCATGTGAGGCATGTGGGGCATGTGAGGCATGGGAGGCATGTGGGGCATGGGAGGCATGTGAGGGATGCGAAGCATGTGAGGCATGTGAGGCATGTTGTGAGGGATGCGAGGCATGTGAGGTATGTGCGGCATGTGAGGCATGTGAGGCATGTGAGGCATGCTTCTGAAAACGCTGCTACTGATTCTGAGGACGCTGCTACTGATTCTGAGGACGCTGCTACTGATTCTGAGGACGCTGCTTCTAATTCTGAGGACGCTGCTTGTGATTCTGAGGACGCTGCTTCTAATTCTGAGGGCGCTGCTTCTAATTCTGAGGACGCTGCTTCTAATTCTGAGGACGCTGCTTCTAATTCTGAGGACGCTGCTTCTAATTCTGAGGACGCTGCTTCTAATTCTGAGGACGCTGCTACTAATTCTGCGGTCGCTGCTACTGAAAGGCTTGCTGCACTGCACCCTGCACCCTGGAACACCCCTCAGGTCGCCAATCACTGCCAGAAGGTGAATCATGTCAGCCAGCCACAGCACAGCACAGCACAGCCAGGACCGCATGCTGCAAAGCGCATCTCTCTTGTGCTTCTTACAATGCCGTGCTGCTTGCTTGCCGCCTTCGTTCCACTAGCAGGTCACACTGCAAGAAGGTGAGTTATGTTAGGACCCAACAACACTCCCCCAGCAGCCTCTGCCTTTCAACTTTCTTCTTACAATGCTGTGCTGCTTGCCGCCCTCGATCCACTAGCAGGTCACTGCAAGAAGGTGAGTTACGTCAGGACCCAACAGCATTCCCCCAGCAGCCACTGACTATTCATTTTTTTTCTTATACTGGTGCCACTGCTGCCAGCCACTGCTGTCACTGCAGCCACTGCTGTTACTGCTGTCACTGCAGCCACTGCTGTTACTGCTGTCACTGCAGCCACTGCTGTTACTGCTGTCACTGCAGCCACTGCTGTTACTGCTGTCACTGCAGCCACTGGTGTTACTGCTGTCACTGCAGCCACTGCTGTTACTGCTGTCACTGCAGCCACTGCTGTTACTGCTGTCACTGCAGCCACTGCTGTTACTGCTGTCACTGCAGCCACTGGTGTTACTGCTGTCACTGCAGCCACTGCTGTTACTGCTGTCACTGCAGCCACTGCTGTTACTGCTGTCACTGCAGCCACTGCTGTCACTGCAGCCAATGTCGCCTCCTTGAGCCCAACACGAGTCACTGCCAGGAGGTGTTTCACGTCAGGAAGCAACAGCACATCCCCATACATGCATCGCATAGCATACCGCCTTCGAATTCCTTCCCATTCCCTCCCTTACAGGCTGCTGCTGCTGCTCAAGCCAGCCCGCTTTGTCTGCGCTAAGGCCTCCACTATCCGCGCTATAGACCTTCACTGTCCGCGCTATACAGCTGCCAGCGTGGGCACAACTGACCTGCTTCTTGCCGGATTTTGAGAGACCTAGATGGCCCAACACGTCCTTAAGCTCCTTCAGTCGGAAACAGGCGAGCTGCGACTGCAGGGAAGGATGAGGAGGAAAGCAATTTGTGGTAAGGAGAGCGAGAGAGTTGGTGAAGTCTGTTCTGGTCTTAAGGCGCCTCAATAAACAGACCTAGTTGGCCCAACACGTCCTTGAGCTCCTTCAGTCGGAAACAGGCGAGCTGCGACTGCAGGGAAGGATGAGGGAGGGAGAGTTGGGGTGAGGGAAATGAGAAAGAAGCCACGATGCTACTACGATCACCATGCTACTACCACCATGATGCTACAGCCACGATGCCATGATGCTACAGCCACGATGCAACAGCCACGATGCGACAGCCATTGCGCTAGACCGAGCTGCTTCGAGATCAATGCGATTCCGCGAAATGCACAAGAAGCACGAAGCCGTACGATAAATTCGTGGGTATCTGATTACTCAAAAGGTTACCACCAGACAAGTTACGCAAGTCGTGCTGCTTATAGCGAAGAATAGAAACGGAACGCATGTCACGCGCGAAGCGCACAACGCTCTTAAGAACAAGCAAGCCGGACGCGCACCAGACGCCATTCAATACGAACGAGTTGGGTTCGCGTGAAGGCATCACCAGCCGGTATTGCAATCAAAGGAACAAGCTAGCCGCTTCGCTCTACTGTATTTCTGGTCGTCATGGCTCTTTGTATGAACAGCCTAGCAGCCTCACACTGCATCACCAGTCGTCATAGCCATCTGCTGGATCGCGTACCCCAGCTGACGTCATCACGTACCCTAGCTTGCGTCATCAGATCGTCCATGGGCCTCGCAGCGACCAGCGCTGGCATCAGCAGCGCGTACGCGTCGATCCGACGGCTGATGTGAAAGACTCGGACGGTTTTCGTGGCTGCATTAAAAACAGCTCCAGTAAGAAGGCAATCCTACAAATACAGCATGCGAAATCTAACGAGCTTCGTCGGATCGCTTTGAAAAAATCGACGACGGACGGCGACGACGCCGGGCTTTCGTCTGCAACAAACCCTAAAGCGCTCGACGACTACAGCGCACTCTTCTGAACAGTGAGCCAACGCCACCCGACAACAGCGCGGCGAGAGATTTAGAAAACCAGGACGCGTGACGCAGAAGGTGGTCTAGGTTAAGTGGCTGCGATCCGTGGCAGTGTACTGTAGCTGCCTATTAGTATCTAGTATCTACTAGAAGCAGGGAAGCCTAGCCAGTCCTGTGTCCTAAACTCCTCCAGACGCAAAGCAGTGCACTGTTCCGTTGCGTCCACGGCAACCCCTAGGTGGTGTGGGTGTGTGGTGTAGCGTTCCCGCCATTTGAGTGGGTGGGTGACGACGAGGGTGCCTGTAGGCTTGCCCAAGTCATTCAGCATAAAAAATGGAGTTTGTGATTATGCAAGGAAAATTCCTTTTCCTTACTTCGCTTCCCTGCTCAGCGCGTACACCACTGTTCCCGCCAACAGCACCCAACAGTAATCCGTTACCACTCGCGACACTCGCCTCGACACTGTTCCCGCCACTCTTCACGACGCGACCCAACCTCACGGTTCGGTTGGTAACCCGCGCTCCGGACCTCCGCCTCGACATTTCCCAACCTCGGCGCTAGGCCCGTCGCGCACCCCATTTTCACACATTACCGTTACCACTGTAGTTTCGCTATATATTCTTCGCTCATGCCTTCGCTCATTGTACTCTTGCTTCGATAGTGCAATTCTCGATCGCTCACTCAATTGCACTCGTAACACTTAGTATTCAGAGCCTACGATCTCTTCTCGGACCGCCCACACCTTCGCTTCCCCACTATCTCAATTTTGGGGGGGGGGTAGACGTCTCTCAGCGAAACAAGCACCGCCGCTCGAAGTGCTCTCTCGTAAGCACGCACGGCCACGACAGAGGCTCTCGCTGAGCTTGCCCGACACCCCTGCCATGGCTGAATTTACTCTCGCGACACTGACGCAAGAGCAACTCGACCGTCTCGTGCGCCAAATCGAAGACTCGGCGCTTGAAATTGCTACACTCACGGCGGAACGCGACTCCGCTCGTCAGCAATCCATGGTGAATGCTCCAGCACCACCACACGCACCTGCAAATGCACCCGCACTGTCGGAGGAACCGATCGTCATCTCATCAGGCACACCGACACGAAACGACAGTGTGGGACAGCGCTCAGGCGCAGCCAGTGATGGCGCCGCTCAATCAATGCATGGCATGGAGAAGAACAGGACCGCACCAAGCCCGCGGGAGCCTCATGAAGCCCGTCGGCATGTGGAGTTTGCAGCGACAAGTGGCGACCACGCCATCATGGCACCAATGCCACTCAAGCTGCAGCGCCCGCCCTGTTTCGACCCGAGCCAACGTGGAGGTCCGACGGTTCAATCGTGGGTCTTCACGATGAACGTCTTCTTCGACGCGAATTACGTCGAGTCGGACGCAGCGAAGATTCGCTATGCGGTCTCGATGCTGAGGGGCCCCGCCATGGACTGGTGGCGAGTCATCGTGACGTCGCCACGCGCCTACGAGCCGCCGTCGCAAGAGGAAGGGCCCACGGGTCCAGCCGTCACCTGGAGTTCATTTTGCGAAACCGCCCAGTACAGCACGTGGGATGCGTGGTGCGCAAGGCTTCGGGCGCGCTTCGAGCCGATTGCGGCTTCCATTTCGGCGCGTCAGAGACCGCGTACTTGGCGGCAGCTCGGATCAGTTCAAGACTACACGAGCGGTTTTCTCGCATTATGCGAGCAAGTCGGCTACATGCACGAGGCGGAGCGGGTGGACCGTTACGTCGGAGGGCTGAAGCCGGACATCTCGCACGAAATCATGCTACGCGGGCTCTCAAATTTCAACGAGATCCTCGCGCTCGCCGAGAAAATCGACATTTTGCGTCGTCCGAGACCGGGGTCCTACTACGGACATCGTCCTCAGGGACCGATCGAGCACGCCACCGTACACGCCGTTGCGACGAATGCAGCTTCCGCGCCATTTAAGGGGCGCTGCTTTGCTTGCAATAGGCCAGGCCATCGCAAGAGCGAATGCCCAGAGGAGCTGAGGCGCTGCGGAGCAGAGCAGGGGAGGGAGTCTCAGAGGCAGGGAAACGCCAGCAGTCAGTAGAAGTTGGGCCAACTACTGACGAGACTGCCTGCTCGCCCAACCTCACCGACCCTCACCGAGTCACAGTACCGATTCATGCCATCGATCGGGCTCGGATGAATAAGGAGGGTACAGCGACGGATTGCCCAGTACTGATCCACGGGAAAATACAGGGAGCAGCAGTGAAGATTTTTATAGACGGAGGAGCACGTCACAGCTTAGTTAATACTGCGACCGCACGGAAACTGCAACTGACACTTAGTCGGTGTTTACCCGAGATAGACGCACGCTTAGTTGACGGCACGCCGCTGGCCACACGGGAGAAAGTGGAGAGAGTAAAAGTCCGCTGCGGGGGGAACTTCGGGTTTACACAGGAAATGCTCGCGACGACATTGGATGGGCACGACATTTTACTGGGACGTGATTGGCTGCGAACCCACGAATCGACTGGACGACGGGTAGCTGCACTGTGCGAAGCAGCGGTAACTGGGTCGAACTACCTCGCTGGCGGTCGCCCGAGTCTTCGACGGTCCACGTCAATGCCATCACGATGAAACGGGCTGTCGCCGCTGGAGCTGACGTGTACGCGGTAGATATCGCAGAAGTAGGAGAAGCAGAGCAGCCGAACGATTTTCAGAAACTACTGGCAGCGGTACCGCCCGAACTACAGGAACTGTTGAAACGGTACCCGGGGATTTTTCCCGACGACTTACCGGAGGGACTGCCACCTCAGCGGGCACACGATCATAGAATAGAGTTAGAACCCGGGGCACAGCCAACCGTACAGCGACAGTTCAGACTGACACAGCCCGAGCTCGACGAACTAAGGAAGCAGGCATGTGCATCGACTACAGAGCACTGAACAGGGTAACAGTCAAGTCGTTATACCCCATTCCCCGCACCGACGAACTGATAGATCAACTGCGAACAGCACGGGTTTTTTTTTTCGAAAATCGATTTACGGGGAGGTTACCATCAGATTCGGGTCAAACCATCGGACTGCGCCAAGATAGCATTTAGGACTAGGTACGGGTCATTCGAGTTTACCGTGATGCCTTTCGGGCTTACCAACGCACCGGCGACGTTTCAGATGACCATGAACGAGGCATTTAGGCCGCTCTTAGATAAATGCGTGATAGTTTACCTCGACGACATCCTCGTCTACAGTCGCGACAAGCAGCAGCACTTAGTAGACCTGGAAGCAGTTTTTAAAGTTTTAGACGAGCACCGGCTACTGACCAAGGGTTCCAAGTGCGAGTTTTTTTAGGACCGGCTAGAGTTTCTGGGGCACGTTATTTCAGAGGCTGGGGTTGAGATCGACCCAAAGAAGCTTGACACAGTAAAAGCGTGGCACCCCCCGACAAATATCACGGAGCTGCAGAGTTTTTTAGGGTTCGTTAATTAAGTGCGTCGGTTCGTCCCCGACATGGCAAGGTTAACAGCCCCACTGACGGATCTGCTGCGGAAGGGGGTCGCTTTTACGTGGGGGGAGAAAGAGCATGCTGCTTTCTCTGCCCTGAAAAATGTTCTCTGTTCACCGCCCGTACTCCGCAACGCTGACCCACACCGCCCATTCGAAGTGGTTACAGACGCAAGCGACATCGCCATCGGAGTCGTACTGCTACAGGATTTCGGCAACGGCCTACAGCCTATCACATACGAGTCACGAAAACTGCATCCGCCCAAGAAAAATTACCCGATACACGACCGCGAAATGCTCGCGATCGTGCATGCATTCAAAGTGTGGCGCTGCTACTTGACCGGCGCAGACGTGACAGTACGGACAGACCACAAGTTACTACAGTACCTCCGCGCACAGCCCTACCTCAACCTAGGACAGATCCGCTGGCTCGATTTCCTCGAGTCAAATTTCCACTACACAGTCACCTACAAAAAGGGGGCATCGAACATCGTTGACGCACTGACCCGCCCCATTGCCCAAATCCATGCCATACTACT